TTAGTTGGATGTCTTTTTTTTTTTTTTCCCCGCATGTCCGTTTTCTCTGTTTCAGTGTCGAGGCCTTTTTTTATGTTTTTTGTCACGACTCCGGACCCTCCGTAACTCATGTATTGCGCCCCCTTGAGGCGTGGTTCCTTTTTGTTGCCAAGGTCCCGTGCGAGTACGGCGCGTCTCCAGTTTCGCCCTGCCACGTACGTGTACGGTGTGCCTCTTCATTGTGGCCCTACGTTTTTTGTTGGTGTGTCGACCTATGGTGGCATCGGCTACGGTGCGTGTCCTGTTTTGCCTATTTTGTCAAGGTCCCGTGCGACTACGGCGCGTCTCCGGTTTCGCCTTTTTTGTCGAGGTCCTGTGCAACTAAGGTGCGTTCCGGGCCCACAGGCTCTTCCCCGCCCCCTCCCCGCCCCCTCCCCCTCCGCCCCCCGCCCCTCCGTTTTGCTATCGTGTCATTACGGTGCCTCTTCATTGTGGCCCTGCGTTTTTTGTTGGTGTCTCGGCCTATGCTGGCATCGGGTAGTTTTGTTTGCCCGTCATAACAAAGGTGTCTTTTTTTCAAAGGCCCGCGCTTGGTTGGCCTAGGCCGAGCCCCTTTTTGTTTTTCTTCCCGCAGGTCCGTTTTCTCTGTTTTTGTGTCGAGGCCATTTATTTTTTTGTCACGACGCTGGACCCTCCGTAACTCTCTCTCTTGTGCCCCCTTGCGGCGTGGACCGGTTGCTTTTTTTTTTTTTAGGTCCGGTGCCACCACGATGCCTCTCCATTTTGGCCTTCTTTTTTCTTACTACAGCATTTTGGCCTATTGTGCCAGTAGTACCGTTTTGTTTGCCTTGTATGCCACATATACCTTTTTTCCAAGGCCTGCTCTTCGTTGGCCTGGGCTGAGCTTGCTTTTTTTCTTTTCCCTACCGGTACCTAGTTGTCTAGACACCAGTTTCACCTCATTGCTGTTGACGTTCGTTGATGTTTTTCGTTGTCTTCATCTTCAGCCTCTCCGTTTTCACCTTCTCCTTCGTGCTTCGTGTCCCCATCAACACCTCCTTGTCCTTGTGCTCTCCACGTGTGTGTGACATTCTTCAATGCTTAAGCATCTGCAAAAGCCTGGGCACAGGGGGTGAGAGAGAGAGAGAGAGAAAGAAAGAGAGAGAGAGAGAGAGAGAGAGAGAGAGAGAGAGAGAGAGAGAGGGAGACAGGAGCGCAGAGACAGAGAGAGAGTTATTGCGGAGAGCTGCAGTGGAACTACTAAAGGTACTTTATTTGTTGACTTACCAACCCCTCCCCTCCCCCTCCTTCTTCATCTTTTTCTTCTTCTTCTTCTCTTTCTTACTTCTCTCTTTCTTTTTTCTTCCCCTCCCCCTCCCCTTCCCCCTGCCCCCCTCCTTCCCCTCCCCTTTTCTTCTTCCTCCCCTCCCCTTTTCTTCTTCTTCTTCTTTTCTTTCTTCTTTTCTTTCTTTCTTTCTTTCTTTCTTTCTTTCTTTCTTTGTTTCTTTTTTTCTTTTTTTTCATTTCAGAAAAAAAAAAAGGTGGTAGGGGGGGGGG